GTTATTGTTTATGACTATGTGTCCTTGTGTTAGTTGGCCAGTGTAGTAGCCTAGCTACTAGTTAGGTGGGATATAAATAAACAGACAGAAAGGCAGCAGACAGACAAATAAATAAATAAATAAATCAAACTGTGTACATTCATAATTTGTATCCTGAGATTAATCCACCCGCATGTCTTCTAGGCCAGAGGAAGCCTCCCTTCTGTATGAAATGCTTAAAATTAAAAAGCAAATTAATAAGCTTATGAAAGGGATGTCACTAGTCTCTTTCAGCTAATATCTGCATAATTGTTGGAACTTAAAGTATTTATACAAGTCACCATAGCAGCAACTCCTGAACAACCTAATTGTTAGGCTGTTGTTGAAGAACTAATTAAATGGTAGAAAGTGATGTACAAAATTACAGACTATGAATACAGACATCAGCAGTTTCAAAGTTTATATGTTAGGCAAGCCAATGGAAATTCTGTAGGGGTTCTGTTGACATATTGGACAGTCATGGTTATACTGAAAATAGATGTTTTCTGCTGTCATTGCAGCAGCTTGTTTCTAACTGTCTCCAAATGCTCAAGTTAAATAGATGTGAATACTGCATGATCTTATATTAGGACCAAGAGACCTCTGGGGTGCAAGTATATTAGTGTAACCCCCAAAAAGTACTACTGTATTAATTTTTTTGGGTGTGTTAATATGCCTTCAAGCTGCTTTTTTGATGCCTCTAATAGCATTTTGAAGGTATGTAAGATGTTCAAGCAGTGCTTTACCACTGCTACTCTCTAGTTAGTTTCCATGTCTGGTGCAATTCATATCCATGTCTCCTTAGTCCACAGTGTTATTTTAGCACACATAGTTTACAATTAACATGATCAATCAAACACAAAGTACATTTAAAATATCACCAATATAAAGTAGCTGCTAAGAGAAATATATAAGCCACTTCTGAGTACTGTCTGCCTACACTCTGAAAAATTGGGGGGGGGGCACAAGTCAGAATTGACTTGATGGCAGATGATAATGATTGTTAATGTATTGATACAGTTTCATAAAAAATGGTCCCAACATGTAGAAATACAGTTGGACTGCGGTATCTATGGGGGATTGGTTCCAAGCCACCCCACACTGGAAAGAGAGGATAAGCAAAGCACTTACTTCCAGTTTCTTGTGATGTCTGTTTGAACTATGTTCAACGCCAAAGGTTATTATGGGCCATCTAGTCACTTCTGACTTAAGGGCAACCCCATGAATGAATGATTTCTAAACATCTTAGCCTCAACAGCCTTGCTCAGTTCTTGTGAACTCAAGCCTGTGGGATTTTTTAGAGTGGTGGTCCCCAACCTTGGGCCTCCAGATGTTCTTGGACTTCAACTCCCAGAAATCCTGGCCAGCAGAGGTGGTGGTGAAGGCTTCTGGGAGTTGTAGGCCAAGAACATCCAGAGGCCCAAGGTTGGGGACCACTGTTTTAGAGGGTCAGTCCATCTTGTATTTGTTCTTTCTGTTTTCTTGCTGCCTTCCACCTTTCCCAGCATTCTTGTCCAGAGAATCCTGCCTTCTCATGATTTGCCTAAAGTAGGACAGCCTCAGTTTCAACATTTTTTTGCCTCCAGAAATAGTTCAGGCTCAATTTGATTATTATTTTTGGGGGGTCTTTCTGGCAGTTCAGGGTATCTGCAAAGTTCTCATCCAGCACCATATTTCAAATGAATCAATCTTTTTCCTTTCAACTTTCTTAACTGTCTAGCTTTCACACATGGTGATGAGAAATACAAGAATGTGGATGCCAGAGGTAGAAGCTATTATATAAAATATCTTCTACTGCTTTAAAAGGCAAATACTATACCTCAACTCATCAAGCCATCATCAATTTATCAATGTACTTTATTATATTTCACCTCAGATTAAATGCAGAACAGCTATTCATATATAATATAATGACAGTTTTCAGTTTTCCTCCAGATTTCCTTTCCTCCCTTGAATGTATTCAGCCTTTCTTGTCATCTCTGCAATATGTGTCTAAAGTAACACATTTTAAATGAGAGTTTGTTGTTATTTATACATTTTTCAGCATTACCCATTTTTCTGGCTACCAGAAAATTCCAAAACAATGGACAGGAAAAAAATCGAGGTACTCCACCAACTACTTTAATCCCAAGACTTGAATGGCTGATTTTATTTCATTAATTTGTATCTGGAGTTTGTATTCTAAGCATTTTTTGTTTTGTTTTTAGAGAGTGCCTGGTAGAATTTCTTGCTATCTCTCATGACTGATTCCCACTCACTTTTTTAAAAAAAAATCGAAGGGTGACAGAAAGCAGTTTCTCATGGTTTACTAGGAAACTTGTAATGGAGATTATATACACAGAGATGCAGTTAAAAATGAGATGCTTGGCAGGTGAAATGCAATACAGGAAGAGATCACTGGGAGGGTGGGGATCAGTAGACAGGGGGCTGGCCTAGAGCAGCTATGTGGGAAACACGGGTGTCTGCTGAGTGCTGCTGCATGTTTTGCTGTAGAGAGGTTGTACCATTCCATGTATCCCATTGTCAGGCAAACCATCCAGCTCAGTATATGATAAGTGTCTTTTGAAGAATAAGACATTGCAGCATGGTTACTCTATAACAGTTCATTCAGTTCTGTTTGACATTTCTAGATAATGCACTCACAAAGTTATAAATATGCATATAAATTATTGTTCTCTGACCATTACTACAAGTGCAGCCTTAGAGATGGCATGTATGCATGGCAAAATTTACTCCATTTTACATGGTTGTTTCATTGTGTGTTTTTTGGGGGAAAGGAAGACACTGCAGTTTCCTACATAGCTGTGTTCCACAAATCTAGGTGGAGATTTATGCTATTCATTTAATATATATTTCCCTAAACAGTGAAATTCTGGAATTGGGTCTTCTAGATTATGGCAGGAATAAAAGCCCTGTACAAAAGAGTATTTGGGACTCAGTTATGCCTGTCTTCATCGCAAGAGATCTGATTCGGTGACATTTCAGTATGTTCAGGACCTGATCATAGAATAGTAGAGGTGAAAGTCTGGTCATATAGAATCACAGAATAATTGAGTTGGAAGGGGCCTATAAGACCATCAAGTCCAACCCCCTGCTCAATTCAGGATCAATGCAAAGGAGATCTCACAGATGGTTGTCCAATTTTCTCTTGAATGTCTCCAGCACTGGAGCCCTCACCACCTCCTGAAGTAATTGGTTCCATTTTTGTACTGCTCTAACAGTTAAGACGTTCCTGTAACTTGAACCGATTATTACATGACCTACACTCTGGGATAATCGAGAACAGATCCTGCCACTCCTTTGTATGATGACTACCTTTCAAATATTTAAAAAGTGCTATCATAACTCCCCTCTGTCTTCTTTTCTCAAGGCTAAACATCCACAGTCATTTCAGTCTTTCTTCATAGGGATTGTGTCCAGCCCCCTGATCATCCTTGTTGCCCTCCTCCAAACTTGGTCCAAACTTTGTTGGCATCCTTCTTAAAGTGAGGTGTCCAGAACTGGACACAGTATTCAAGATTAGACCTACCTAGTGCTGAATACAGGGAGACTAGTATCTCATGGGATTTGGAGACTATACTTCTGTTGATGCATTCTGTATAGCATCCTGTATGACAAGACAATCTGCTTCCCATTACATTCCCATTTGGTCCACACTGTTCTTATGTGACTTTCTGCTCTCCACCAGATTCAGCTCTTTGTTCAGTCCCCAGGACAGCTATGATATCAACATTCTAAATAATGATAAATGAATATACTGTATAAAAATCCACGTACATATAGTAAGTTGATCCTTACAGGATTTTAAGCTTGCATTAAGGAGCAAACAGATGTACAGATACATAGCATACAGCAATCATAACTGTATCACGTTACACATATATGAATGCACAACATGATACAATTATGATTGCTGCATGTTTCCAAACAGTGAAAAATCATAACAGAAATGCCACCCCAGGACAAAAAGGAACAATTCATTGCTGTGCTCAATTTAGCTGCAGGCAAAAGACAGCAATTTTGTCCATGTGTAAGGAACATACTAGTTCCATTCCCAAACCATAATTTACCTTGCTTTTTCTACATTTGGGTTTTCATATTTTGGGAAAAGGACAAATTAGTACCTTTGCAAGACATATTCCTGGATTGGAAATTCTCCTAATACATCATCTTAGTTTGTCAGTATTTTATTCAAGATCGGGAAAAGTTTTCCTTTTGTTCTAAAATCTTTGAGGCAGTTTCTCTGTTTCTGAGTTAAAACTGAGCATAGAAGGATGTCAAACATAAATATAGGAAAAAGGTCTACTTCCAGCAGCAGAGTTTAAATTTGCAGGAATGCGGCCAATAATAAGTTGAAATTCCACTCTTTCCCCCTCTTCCTCTGTAACTCAATACGCCATCTTCAGCCACGCATCAAACCATATGTGAGAGCCAGGCTGAATCTTAGAAAAACAGAATGAGCACCTAAAAATGCAGCTGTTGCAAAGTTGTGATGGACAGGGGGAAAAAATCTATGTACACTTTCTCGTCCTTTTAGCAAAGAGAGAGATCCAGAAGATGGGAGGAGGGCATCAAACAAAGCTCCATTAACAAATTCTTCACTTTGCTCCTTTTGTGTCAAAAAAAAGCATAAACGACAACAAACTGGAAGGTTTAAAACAGAATCCACATGCTCAGAGTCAAGGATTGAGATAACACAGAACTTTATTCCTTCTCTACTTCTTTTTTTCCAAATGTTTGCAAAGTTCCCCGTTTTTAGAAAACGATAAACATTACAGATACATCACTCACTATATAAATGAAAAACATAGCAATCACATTTTATTGCTGATATCAGCACTTTCTCCCTCCCTTATATTGCTCCCCCTCCTTCAGCCCTGCCCATGCCCTGGCCACAGCTCCTGCTACCCAGCCAGCTCCAAGCTGCTTTGTTCTGCTTTTGCAATATTCAGCTGATGCTCCAGAGACAGGCACAAACTTACCTGGGAGGAGGCTGAGAGCCCAGGTTACAACCAGCCCTATGTAGAAGTCCATTTGAGTCTTGAAGGTTTCCGATGGTACTTTATCCAAACCATCCGCTAAAGGCACCAAGACAGAGTGGTAGCCCAACTCTGAGAAAGCTTTGTACTTAGTCCACAAGCTTTTCCCAGCTCCCTGACAGAAGCAGCTCCTTGAAAGGAAGTGGGAGGGAATTCGTTGTAGGAGGGGCAGAAAGAGCAAATGAGTGGAGAGAGAGAGGACCAAGCAAGTAGCAAATTACCAGCACCCTTGAAGGGACTCTCCTGAAAAGTGAAACACCCTTCCCCTCCTTGCAGATGTTTGCAACAAATTTAGAAGTTTTTTTAAAAAAGACCCTCAAGCCAAGGCTCGCAAAGTAAATTTGTCTAGAGCGCTATAAAAGTCATTCTAATTACACAACATTTACAATTGTTAGATGCTCTTGAGTTTAAGTATCAAACAGACATTATAGTGAGCCCATTATTAGGAGTTATCAAGACTTCAAATTTGTTTACCCTAGCACCAGGTTTCTCAGCCTGCAAACTCAAAGTTAACTTTCTTTTAATTTTCAGTCAATCATTGGCCTCAATACATGGGCTTCATTAGCAAGTTCATTGTTCCATACAGCAACTTTGATGGATGTGTCTTTGGAAGTAAATGTTTTCCTGCCTTTTAATTGTGAAGCACACGCTATGACCAGTTTAGCCCTTAAGTTTCACTGGATGTGTTTTTCTAGGAAAAATAGTGTACAGTTCTACATTTGGGAGATTTGCGTTGCTTGTTAAATCTTACCACCCCTGTCCCCTGCACCTTTCAACTGTCACAGGACAGGGAAAAGAAGACCCATCACATAAAAGCATGGCATTTCTTCCAGCCCTAGGAAGCTCTCGGACTTACTCTGAACCTAGAGAAAGAGTAGGCATCTCCCCACCATTGGATCAACTCATTCTGTGCAGAAGTGTAAGCATTCTTATGCATTCTCTGAAAGTGTAATGGATTGAGATTGTCAGAGATTGTGAAAACACCTACACTCCTCCTGCAATATTTCCTCAACTCCCCAATAGTCTTTTAGGGGATGACAGCTACATTTATCTCTGTTCAAAATAGGGCTTCTTTGTGCTCCGTGTCATTCTTCGGGTGAAAGAATTCTAAAAAGGTTATTGGGACAAACATTCAACTCCAAAGGCACTTTATTGTCTTTACATCCTAAATCTCCAAATTAAGCATATAAGAAAACCATCTTCTTGGCATTGTGTCTGGTGCAGTCAGTGCCTCAGAGGGGTGAAGATTCTCCTAGTGGTGTCAACACCAAGGAATTCTGATGAAACTGATGCCTCTTTCCCAGGCATGGTTCTGGCTCTGTTTTTGAGGTGAAATGCCTGTGGTTTCACTGCTTGATGGGAGGGAGGACAGGAGTGCCATCCTCCTCTATTGGGAGGAGGACAGAAGGGGTGCCATCCTATTGGCCCTTGTTGCAACTTATTTTTATTTGTTTGTTTGTTTGTTTGTTTGTTTGTAATATTTTTAGCCGCACCATTACCAGTGGCTTCTTGTGACACTCTTGAAACTTCTCCAACTGGATTGTCATTTTAAAGTTGTACACAGAACTCATGTTGATGGATCTGTCCCTGCAACTACTCAGATAACCACTGCACTCCTTTACACTGATGTCTAAACACATGGGGCATGTAGACCCCTTCTTCACCCTCCACTCTCTACATCAAAGGATTTTACTTTAGCCTTCAGTGCTCTCAGTACTATCAACCTGTTGGAGTTTTTGCATCCTTGCATGCTACTTCTGGTGTGATGAGGTAAAGGGATGGACTACTCTAGGGAACTTAAGATTGATTCTGCTCTGTGGATCCCTGCACTTCTGCTGCACAGATAGAGGACAGGTTATGGGCCCAGAAACCCAAGGGAGACCACGGTCACACTAGAGAAATTCCCCCCCTCTTTACTTGCATCTTCTGATTCCACACATTGCGGTCACATGACATATATTCTGTGATACTTTTTTGACTGTTCTGCATTTTTTTAGCTAAATTAGATGCTATATGTTCATCTATACCCTTGCAGCGAGGCATATCCCTTCCTCTTTTCTGTGTTTCTCTGCCCTCCCCTTATATATATATTTTTTGTGCGGGTACATCGGTGTATTGGCAAAATGCCCTCGTATATTATTATTTTTATTTTATTTATTAGCTTTATACCCTGCACCATCTGGCAGCCAGGTCACTCCGGGCGGCTAGCAACAACAAGACAAACAACACAATACTAAAACACAATAAGAATAAAATAATATATTCAACAGATACAATAACTAGTAGGATAAATTAAAACAGATGGCTATAAAGATGTTACAAAGGATGATGAAAGGATGGCAAAAAGGATGATAAAAGGGAAGCAGAGATATCAGGAACTTAATGCCCAGGGAAAGCCTGATGGAAGAGCCAAGTTTTCAATGCTTGTTTAAACCCATCCAGTGTGGGTGCCAGGTGTATCTCCATGGGCAGATTGTTCCACAGGCCGGGGACGACCACCGAGAAGGCCCAGCTTCTTGTTCTTTCCCTCCAGGTGTCCTTTGGGGTCAAGGCCCTTAACCACCCTGCCTGTGAAGAATGGGTGTTACGGACAGATCTGGCTGGGAGCAGGTGTTCTGCCTAGGTACTGAGGTCCTAAACCATTTAGGGCTTTGAATGTTATCATCATAACCTTGAGGTCGATGCAGAAATGAACTGGTAGCTAATGAAGAGCAGCCAGAATGGGGGAAATGTGCTAAAATTTCTTCAACCCAGTTATTAATCTGGCCACCGAATTCTGAACCAGTTGTAGTCTCCACATCAACCTCAAGGGTAGCCCCACGTAGAGAGCACTGCAGTAGTCTTTTCTTGAGATTACAAGTGTATGAATCAAAGTTGTGAGTGCCCGCACGTCTATATAGGGATGCAGCTGGGTAACCCTCCGAGGATGGAAATGGGCTGCCTGGACCACAGATGTTACCAGAGCTTCCATGGTGAGATTTGGCTCCAGAAGATGCTCAAGCTGTGAACCTCATTCTTCATGGGAAGAGTAACTCCCCCAAAGGAAAGAGAGTTTCCCAACCCTCTGATGCCAGGGCTGCCCACAGGCAAGATTTCTGTCTTGTCCGGATTCAGCCTCAGTCCATTTGCCCTCATCCATCCCAGAACAGTCCCCAAGCAGCATTCAAAGGACGGAACAGCATCCACTGCAGTTGGAGAAAAGGAGAGGTAGAGCTGGGTGTCATCAGCGTACTGATGACACCAAGCCCCACAACTCTGGATGACCTCACCCAGCAGCCTCATGTAGATATTAAATAGCTTTGGCGAGATGATTGACCCCTGTGGAACCCCACAACTGAGGATCCATGGGGTGGAAGTCATCTCACCAAGCTGCACTCTCTGGCAACAGTCCCCAACGAAGGAACAGAGCCATGCCAAAGTGAGGCCACCGATCCCCAGCTCGGAGAGCCACCCCAGGAGGATACTGTGGTCGATGGTATCAAAGGCCGCTGAGATAATGAGAAGAACCAACAAGGACATATTGCCCCTGTCGGCCTCCCTCAGGAGGGTATCCTGCAGGGCGACCAATGCTGTTTCCGTACCATGCCGTGGCCTGAAGCCCAACTGGAATGGATCATGGGGATCCGTTTCCTCCAGGAGTGCCTGGAGTTGGTCAGCCACCACCCTCTCAACCACTTTACTTAAGAAAGAAACATTGGCAATGGGCCTATAATTACCAATTTCATCCACTGCCAAATTAGGTTTCTTTCAAATGGGCCTTGGTGGCCATGTACTGATCTGGTGCATTTTTTCTTCTTTTTGTGCTGTAATGGGTAATCTCAATGGTGGAGGACACACAGCCCCTTTGACAGAAGTATACCAATGTGCCATCATTCCTGTTTGGAAAAATATATATAATCGAATGACAGCCAGTGGTGATGGTGGGACTGCACATCAGATGTAAAGGAAATGAATCGGTTTTGTAGGACACACTATATGGAATGCCAGTTGTACTGTGTGACGAAACATGGAACAAATATAATAGTAGCCTCCCAGCAGGCTAGATTTGATGCTGAGGTAGCACAGAAGGGGAACAAAAGAAATTGTAATGGCCATGCATCATATGAACCCCCAAAAAGGGTCAAACACAGAAACATTTTTCTGGTGTTACCACAGCCACAGGCAGATATCTAAGACGTATTTTTCAGGCTATATCTGGCAACTGGACCTCTTTCTTATTAGGTTGAAACATTTCACTATTCATCCAAGTACTGTAGGAGATCCCTGATATATCCTCCATGTTGGTTTAACTCCCCCCTGGTCTGAATAGGCATGTTAGATGGACAAAGGACCTCTGCAGTCCTTCTCCACCCATTGTAATGGGTCATTAACAGTCAACCAGTTGCCATGACTGAACTTCTAGATGTTTTTCGAGCTCTATAATTTTTCAAAGTGGTTACCTTTTTTTTTCTGGAAGCCTGACATATCCTTCTATACTAAAACAAAAAAGGTATGAACCTGTGCTAATCCCTCCACAACCTGAACCATATACAAAGGAGGAAGGCAATGATACATGAGCTGAGAGCGGGGCACGAAGAGAACAGGACACAGATGAAGATGTCAAGGCTATTGTTCTGAATGAGGCATCTGCGTCGCAAGATGCTCCAGTGTCAGCCACCAGATATTTATTGCAACCCAACAAAAGTGTACTGCATCTTTGCCTGTACTACATTGCAAGGTCATTGCAGAGAAACTAACCAATAGCCTGGGGGGAGATTGAGGAGATGTTGGTAGCTGATGTTGGCAGATGGAGAAAAGTTGCAAAGGAAGAGACAGAAGCACTGCACAAGAATTAGATGTAGATACTGACGAAGGTACCACCAGGTAAGAAAGCAATTGGATGTAAGTGGGTATTCAAGCTAGAACAAGGTGCAAATGGAGAAGAGGAAAGCCACGAGGCAAGAGTAGTTGCAAAAGGGTTCCTACAGAAATATGAGAAGACTTCAATGAAACCTTTGTTCCTGTTGTCAAGCACAGCATAATAAGAATGATCCCGAGTGTGGCAGCCTCTAGGAAGAGAGAAATGAAGCACCTAGATATCAAGATTGTATTTCTACGTGAAGAGATTGCAGAGGAGTTG